ATTAGCAAAAAAGTATAGATCCATATTTGTGATTAGGTGATCATTAAAATTGTTTTTGGCCCAGATGGAATAAGATAAAAATAAAACAATAAAATTTCAAGTATCTGCCTCCTGTACATGGTCAAGATAAGAGGAGCAAGTAACTAACTAGATGGCTTAGGTAACCCAAAGGTTCATCACTGAATTAATCAAAGGCCTCCACCTGTCCTGGGCCAACAAAATCCAGTCTCCTTCAACTCCTATCTCCGATAGATCCTGCCTAAGATTATCCTCCCATCTACGTCTAGGTCTCCCCCGTTCAGGCTTCCCAACCAATACCTGGTGCACACCTCTTGCCCTATCCATGCATGCCACGCCCATCTCATTCTTCTTTACTTAATCACCCTGACAATATTGGAGGAGTACAAATTTTTAAGCTCATCATTATGAAGTTTTCTCCATACCCCATCAAAAGGAGCAATTTAATAATAGAATTAATTATATACAATACACCACATAAATGGACTGAAAATTACATCCCAATACAAGCACTCTCATACCACACTGATACCTGAACATACAAAATAGTAGCACCTTCTGAACAATTTCATCTGTTAGAATCAACTATTCCAAGATATTACCATCATGCCTGTATCAGATTTATACATAATTATTCCTATATCTTAAACCATATATGGAAGGAAGATAATGACTTGCAATTTTATTTTATTTCATCTGGGCTAAGAACGAAGATGTTTAATTATTTTAATGATCACCTAAACAAATCACAAATACGGACACATACTTCTGTGACAATACATGCATTTAGTATTTTAATTTAATGTTTCAGTACATTCATATAACACATAAAGATGGCTATACACCAAAACTTGAAGTGATCATATATATGTGATACACAAATACATTTTTTTCATGTGTGATATATAAATATAAGTTGTATTGACAGTAGGCATTTGTTCCTAAGTTAATTACACAACAGGATGCAACCTTTTAAGATTTCATACAACATTTATGGAAATTCTTTTCATTTATTGAACATCCAAAAAATTAAAACATTTGTATCATATAAAGGAAAGCTTGGAAAGGTAAAAATGTGCAAACATGACTTTCAATAAAGGAAGGAGCCCTTACCATTTACTCTGATGAACACCTTTATAGTAGAAAATGGTTACAAATTCATTCTCAATGATAAGCAGATGTACATTGAAGAAACACTAAATAATAACTAGGAAAACAGGTAACAAGTGAATATGGCGAATATGGTCAACTGCTGGAAACTAAGGGTTGTCAGTTGTGATAATAAAGGACTATGTATGGTTAATAAGCACTGCTGTATAGGATTTGCAGCAGGGTCTAATCAGTGTGATAAAAACCAGAATTATATGGAAAACAGTGATTCCTACATAGTCAGTACATTCATGAGGAGATGGGGCTATGCAGAACACAACAAACAGGTTTTTTTTTTGAATGACCAGAAATTAAAATGTCACCTCATCTGCTATTGGAGCTACATATAAAAGTCATCAAATTCTTTCTGTCTTACAGACTTAATATGGATGTACAGACAGAACAGATACAATTTTACCTGGCAATGGGTTAAGTAAGATACGACAACTTTCTCTAAAGATGCAATATCATTTTACGAGGTGTGATCGGAAAGTTTCCAGACTGCGCCTATAAAAACCCGTACACTTATCTCAGGTATTAAATTTATCCATCACCCTCGAAGTAGTTCCCCTGGGAGTGAACACAACGATCCCAGCGCCGCTGCCAAGCCTGGAAGCATCCCTGGAAATCTTTCTTTGTCAGCCTGTCAAGCACCATCTGCGATTCTGCCTGAATCTCTTCTATCGTCTCAAATCTCCTTCCCTTTAGCTGAATTGTCATCTTTGGGAAGAGGAAGAAGTCACACGGAGCTTAGAAAGGAAGTTGGGGTCGGTTCTTGCAAGATCTTTAAACTCCTGACAAACGAGAAGTCGATTCTGCTTCTAGTCCTCTGACAGGATGCGTCGCATGTGGAGTTCATCCTTTAGAATCAGCTGACAGGTCCCATAGCCTATCCCAAAAATGTCGCACAAGTCGTTGATGGTACGACGTCGATCTTCGTAACATTTTCGGGCGTTGTGCTCGAAGATGGTCGTCCAGAACGCTCGTCATCATCGACAGAGGTTCGGCCATTTTTAAAACGTGAATGCCACACAAAAGTTTGTGCACAACCCATTGCGGACTCCCCAAATGCTTGCTTTAGCATTTCATAGGTTTCCGTAGCCGTTTTGGCGAGTCTTTGGCAAAATTTGATGCACACGCCATTCCGAAATCGCAGGAGGGTCGGTGTAATGCACTACCAAAACGCCCATAACTAAGAA